CATGTCAGGCGGACATCACATGCATGTCAGGCGGACATCACATGAATGTCAGGCGGACATCACATGAATGTCAGGCGGACATCACATGAATGTCAGGCGGACATCACATGAATGTCAGGCGGACATCACATGAATGTCAGGCGGACATCACATGAATGTCAGGAGGACATCACATGCATGTCAGGCGAACATCACATGCATGACAGACGGACATCACATGAATGTCAGGCGGACATCACATGAATGTCAGGCGGACATCACATGCATGTCAGACGGACATCACATGCATGTCAGACGGACATCACATGCATGTCAGACGGACATCACATGCATGTCAGACGGACATCACATGCATGTCAGACGGACATCGCATGCATGTCATGGGGACATCACATGCATGTCAGACGGACATCGCATGCATGTCATGGGGACATCACATGCATGTCAGACGGACATCGCATGCATGTCAGATGAAATCAGCTACAGATCAGGTGAAGGTAGTGTGATTGTCAGGTGGCCATCATGTGATAGTCTCATGTAGAAAATCAGGGAATTGTCAGGTGGATATGTAAATATCAGGTACATACAGATCATGTGAATGTCTGCTGGATATCATGTGAATGTCATGTTGAAATCATGTGACCGTCAAGCTGGTATCATGTGAATATCAGGTACAGATCATGTGAATGTCATGCAGGAATCATGTGAATATGATGAGAATGTCAGGTGTCTGTATTGTGGACATTTTGTAAATGCCAAGTGTATATGTGTAGTACTTACCAAAGTTCCATGTACATCCATAAGTACAGCAAAGTTAGTGAGGTGATTACAGGAACATATTGTATGGGTTTCATTACTTTCAACAGTTTCACATCCAGAGTTTGACCAAGAACCAGAACTGAAAACAAAAATCATCTAAATATATTATCATGTAATAGAGTGCAAATGAATAATTTCAAATATTGACACATGGACAAGATTTTATTATTGTGATGTTAAAAAAAATGATCACATAGTACTTACCCACCAGAGGCATTCCAATATGAACAAACAGGATTTCTTCTGTCATTCTGAAAAAATAGAATACACCATATATCCATATAATGGCAACAAATTGTCTCCACTTGCATGATTCAAGATGGATCAATTCATGATGAATGACTGACAGGAAAAATGTGCTGCATACAGAAACAAAGACAACACACTGTAGGGAGGAAAGGAAGGGAGAAAAGTAAGGAAAGAGGAGGGGGGGTTATTGTTAACTTTATACAACGTGATCTCACCTTAATATGCTCCAATGTGATGATGACAGGTTCAACTAAAGACTGTGAATGCATAGTGTTGAGAGATGCTGAAATGACGCGTGAATTTATCAACTTAACGGATGAGTTTGTATCATTGCCAACTCCATCAATACCTTCTAAGAAATGACCAATATTGTTGTACATCAAGAAGACTAATTTAGCAGAGCCTATAAGAAATGAAAATATGGAATGTTATTTCAGGAATTCGTAGAAAAAAGTCAAGCACAAAGTCTTATATGAAATTGAATGCCAAGTCACTTGTTTTTGTCATTTGAGCTATGATGTGATATATGATGGCAGAATCTATTGAATATAAATTGATACGAGTTGTTGTTACAGGAATGCTTATTGATGGATTCAACTCCTTGGTGTGAGTTGGTCCTTGGTGTACCCAATCAAATCATTCCATTTAACAAAGGTCAAATACAGTTTTTCCTAACATGATTATGCAAAGGTTTGTAGGCTCATAGGGCCATAGATGGCGAAACCATATGTGAATAGTGTGATGCTGTTCTTTTAAGCACACCTGAGTATTCGTTTCATGTCATAATGAAAGTCTCACTGCACTTTTCATGTAATAAATACTGTTGTGTGTCCTGCAAACAGTATGTTTTTAGTTTACGGTAAATCATATTCTGATCAAACAAAATACTATATGTTTTAGTTCATATCGCACTTTATCAAAAGATTTAGAACATCCACATGAATCCTGGTTATAATATAGGGTCAATGAGAGTGATTTTATGATGAATATAGTCTAATAAACTTACCATTTGTACTTCTGGCTTTGATACTAACATCAGATAGAACAATAGAATCAGAAGAATTCACTATTCCCTTCGTCCCTGGAAAAATCACTGAGCCATCATCTGGTAAATTACTTGTTTTAGAAACAGCGACTTCCATCACTATGACAACAGAAATAGTAGAATATAAGAGATCAACCATTTTGGGTTTTGACATGTCTTTCTGGTTATCAGGAAACCATGCATCTACCATACTTACCTATGTTGTCAGTGACTTTAGTTTTGACCTGTCCTTCTGGCAACTCCCTGGCTACTAGGAAACCATTCGTCTCCATACCATTTAACAGTTTAGCTGCTTCCTGAGTTTGTTCTTTTGGTGATAAATCCAACCAAGCATCATTGTGCTCATTTGACAATAAATTACTACCAGTAATAAGGTTGCCCTGGTAACAGAACAATAAAAAAGTGTCACAAAGCATTCATTAGTCAAGTCAAACTAGTAAGTACTACCTGTTAAATCAGAAATT